ACATGCCTACATGCCTACATGCATACATACATACATGCATACATACATATACGTCTACATGTACATACACATACATGCACCTGAATGCCTGTGTATGCACATACCTGTCTACCGACATATATATATATATTGTACATATATGCACGTGTTAACACAAAGGCAAACATATGCACGTATACGCACATATATATACACACATGTGTTTGTATGTATATGCATGTATATGTATACATATGTAAGAGCGTTTATATATATATATACATATACATTTTGTTTGTGTGTTAATATGGCATAGTACATAAGGATAGCACCAGAGCCAGAGCCCAAGGTTCAGCAGTTTTTGTCATTGGGTTTCAGGAAGCCTCGCCAGGAGCTCGCAGGGCTGTCGGACCCGAGTGCCGTGCGCTTCCCGTACTCGACGTACTCCTTGCCAGTGGCGTTGGCCAGGCGGCCAGGGAATACATTATATATTTTATGTTATATATTATGTGTTATATATTATATACCATGTATTATATTATGTGTTATATGATATTAACATGCAAATTCAGATCCCGCTCTCTTGTGTGGGGTTCGGGGGGCTTCTTCTGCACTGGAGGGCTGGGTGTTAGAACGTGTTTCGTGCGGAGCTGCCTTTGTGCCTCATAATGATGTTAGCATGGGCGGAGAGGACGGGGAGTGTTTCAATCGAAGTAATACGAAGATTTGAGTCGGCGGAACAGCAGGTGATCGTATGCTTCGATTTCGATAAAAACACGCTTCGCTTTCCAGCAGGCTACATGAAGTAGAGCCAGTCCTCCGCGGCTTTCATTCCATAAGGTTCTCAAAATCGAGACGTGGCAAGGTGCTTCAAAGTATTAGCTGAGCGAGACAGATTCACATCACGGACTCAACCATGTGACACGCTTCTCCAACAGTTTGGACCTTGCAACTTCACAGCTCTGGCACGAGATCCCTGGATGTGACGGGAACCTGCCAACCCGACTGCGGCGTATCTGTCTACTAGATCTGCTGACGGTCGTGAGAAAGGGGCATGGCATTGATGGTGACGGTGGTGTTGATGAAAGGAAGATAATCAGAGAGATGCTGCTGCTAACGACCACATTGATGAACGTGAGAATGATAGCTTGCCAGCAGTATGGTGATGTTGATGGCAATTGCGAGAACCGAGTGTGTCGCGGCCGATTGAAACTGAATTGATTGTTGTTCACTGCAGACCGCCATCTGAACAGTCAAGCGCCACGGGTTTCTGTGCAATCTTATCGGTCTGTGCTGAGAGGTTGAGGCAGACATGCAGAACGGAATTCGGGTCTGGGTTGGCTCTTTCCTCAGACTGCGTGCCTTGTCTCCTGTTCAGCCCCATCTTCAGGCAGGTTGGTGGCTGGGATGTGCAGTGGATCGCAGAGGATTACCACATGGGGATCAAGTGCTTTCTGATGACCCTGGGCCACTTGGCTTCGGAGCTGAGGCATGGGTTCTGTCTTTTCTGATTTCTGGACATGCATAGTCTGCGATCTTCCGATTTCTGCGGCCGAGGAAAGACCACTGTGGAGCCTGTCATGACGCCCATGATGAATTATGTGCCTGAGGAGGAGGGCGACTGGTGGGGTGCCTCACCTGCCCACTGGAGCTTCTTACAGGATCCAAGCCACATAGTCTCGACATTTGCCTGGGAAACACAACCACACGATACCACAGCTCGCAGACGTGTGGTGTCTGTGAGCTACAGTATTCGGGGAGTCACCTCTTTCGCAATGCTTCGAGCCTTCGGGTATCCAGGAGGGAACATCAGAAAAACTGGAAGGCATTAATACGCCAATTGAATCCATATGAATGGCTGTGGGCTTTTAAACAGGAATGAAGAAGTGGAGTCCGAACTTGAGCCATCCTTTGCTGAGGTACCTGCATGGCCCGGTGGGTTCAGCTGAAGAGGCATGCCTTGGGCTTCTCCGATTCCCGGCCGCCGACATCTGTGTGTGTGTAGGTTCCTTCGCGATTAGTTGGATAGATATGTTTAGAATATATAAACCGCTTCGCGCCAGGCATACGGCTCTGCATCCCCTCAGAACCTGCAGTACTCGCAGAGTCCACTTTGTCAAAAGGAAACAGCGGCCTGGGACTGCCCAGGACTTCTCCTACTATTTCATGATGCTGCCACTGGTGTTTCTTGGCTAGATCCAAGGAGTTCCATGCATCAGGATTGCAGAATGAATCTGATGAAGGTTCAGTTACTCATCCTCCAGTGTGAGCCGGAACACCGAAGGCCTCCAGGCAGGTCTCTGGGTAGAGATGCGGCGAGCGGCGCAGTGTGTTCACGCAATGGATCACGTTGGTCCCGGCATGCAGGGCTTTTGGCGTATGCTGAGCTACGGCACCACGCTCCTTATCCGGCTCGTGAATGTGCATGTGCTCATCGGAGCCCCGTGTCTTGTATATGGGGTGCGCTGTGGAGGATTTCTAGGCTGAGGTGTGGCGATCTCGGACAGTCGCGAGGTAACTAGCTGAACTGCAATCCAGGTCCTGTCCACGTACGGAGCTATGGAAGCGATGTGTCCCGGATGCAGACTACAAAGTATTTATCAGCTCTTCACCCAACAACTGCTGAACCGGTTCCTGGCATGAGTGCACGCATGAGGGACACTGATCTACAGTGCTGCTTTGGTGCATCCTACGGCACAAGGGCTTGTATCCGAAGGCCACATTCCTTGGCCTAAACGTAGATGCGACTCCAAACTGAGACCATGAACCCAGAGCTTGTTGTGTGCGGTGTGAGGTAGAAGAAGTGAAGCAGCGACGCAAACGAAGAGCGAAACCTCGTTTGCACAGACCCCCCTGACCAAGGCTCAAGCTGATAATAAAGCTCTGCTTCAGGCCAGAGGGCATGTGCCAACAGCCGCATGAAGCAGTACACGCTTTGAGCAGGGCCTACTGTATGATCCGTTGACGGCTGCTGCACAGACACATCTGATTTGTGTCACGAACCACCACCTACTCATCTTGCAGACCCTGGCCAGGGGTGACCGGTTGCCGGACCTCCTGTTCTTGCAGGTTGGCGTTTTCCCGAAATATTTGATGCATCTTGGCGGCGTTTTGTGTTGGAGGGAGTAGTCAGATGCCTTCATAGCAGGGCTGGCCAAAAGCTTCCACATAAAGACATCTGTGCGGTTGCATGGCTCACCACTGGTTGGTGGCCAGTGCTTGTGCAGGATTTTCTGACGTGCTGTGGCTGACAGGATTGTGACGATCTTTTTCACCATCTTGGTGTCCGCCGTCTTCTTCGTGACATACGAGGTCTTGCTGAAGAAGCGTGTTGAGGGTCATGCCCAATATAGTCTCTGCGTGCACTGGCTGAAGACGCCCTGGCCAGAGTTGGTAAAGTTGTGTCTGTTTGGTACTAGAACAACCGTAAGCTTGCAGACATGTAGTGCCGCGTGCGTTTCCATTGCTTGCTCGCCCAGGAATCTGATCGGTTGCTCGGCTGCAGTATTCTTAAGAAGAAGATGCATGTAGGCTCCGGACCAGAGCTTGCCGGCCCTCGGTCTAGGCATCGTTGGCCAAGTCCGGCGACCCAAGGAAACCAGCATGAACATCATGAGGAAAACGGTTTGGTTTTGTTGAGGCCTCCCTGTGAACGTCATGTCTTAATTGGCCAGTATTCGGGACATAGCTACGTTTACTACTTTCGATCTGAGATGTCGCCGCAGAACTATCAGACCCTGGCCTTTCAAGAGCAACAGCTACACCGCCACTGCAGCAACGAGTGTTGCTGATAAGAACCTAATAGTAGTGCCGGTAGCAGTATTCGTGTGTTCCCATTGATTGCAAGGTCTGGCTCTGGGCTCACCGGTCTACTTTGTGATGCTGGGCTATGCCATCTGGAGAGCGGCCCTCATGGCGGCCGTGGCGGAAATTACTTAAGGGCCCGTGCTTTCGCTAGTGGCTAATGATTGCGGCTTTCGTGTTGGAGGTTCCCGGACGCACCAACCTCGCATCTGCAGCAAAGAAGTTGCACAGAGTTTCTTAAAAGGTTGCGATAGGCTGCACCTTGCAGCAGCGGATCGGTTAAAATGCCCTGAGCTCGCAACTGTCGGATCTGGTCTTGTTGTTTTACTGCAGTGGTGGGACCCCGAGCCACCTTGTGCTTGAAAGTTGTCGAAGCCAATAATGTGGCAAGCTCCCCGAAACTCTGGTTGCAGAACCTGGCAAGTCCGAGTTCTTGTGTTGGAAGCAGTGCTGAGACCAATTACTATTCTGCTATTGCATTTCGTTGTTTCTATCGTTCTACATGGTTCTGCTGGCTGTGTCTGTCCTGTGCAGTGAATGAAGGTTCTGACGCAGCGGTCCTTTGAGTACCACGTGGCGCCCAAGCCGAAGCAGGCACCACGGAACCTTTCAGAGATCCCGGTTTACTTAGCCCTACAATGCCCGCAGTCTCCCTTTTTCAAGGCTTTGTGTGGCACGGGATGATTTCTCTAACTTAGCATATTCCGCTTGTTTTTTTTCCTGCCTGGGCCCTGGGAAGGCCGAGCCGACGCAGAGCTCCCTCGCAGGAGGTTCGGAGGGCTCGTGTTAGCTCGTCGTGGCTTTTGTTGCCGGGTGTGGGGGGGCTGACCTGGCAGTGGGAGTGGCCGGTCGCCCGAACTTTCCCCCCCGTTCGGCAGGACACGATCCCAAGATGGTGCCTTGACTATGTCAGAAAATAAACTGTTGTTACGCAGCCAGAAGTCACCGTCAGTATGTGACTTGCGCAGGAAGTAATGACGAGTCACTCCTTGTGTGCACGAAGATGCACGAAGAGCCGGCCTGATGTACAGATAGCAAACATGAGCAGCTAGCTGAGTAGTCTGAGTGGGATGGCAGATTGAGATTGTGATCGTGGCTGCTACGGGCATGCTGTTCAAGCTAGTGACTCTAGTGGTTCAAGTCGCGAGACGGTCAGCAGCAGAAAAGCAATGTCTTATCCAAGTGTTTGTCCAAGCACGGGGTGAACATTCAGGCCGAGGCACTTGCGAAGTGCTCCCACATTCTTGCCAAACTTGTTGATTGAAGCTTGCATCAACATCGAGCATAGGTTTCAGATTCTAGCCGAGGCGTAACTTCGTCGCTCCGCAATCTCTTAAAACGTCGGCATCTCAGTTCCGAGCTTTCGGGCCGAATGTGCGAGGACTGGTGCGTTAAACACACCTCGGGCCAACCGACATCCCGGCAGTTATGGTTCTGCAAGGTGTGCAGGGTCGGGGCTCCCTTCGTGTGGAGCTCCTGCTAATAGCAAACACTTTTAGTGCGGATGTGTTCGGATGTTTCGAACTGAGCTTTGTCTTGACAGCCGCTAGTTTTGCTGATCGACACTACCTGGAGTCACTACATCTTCAATGGTACTGCGGTAAAGCGCGCTTCCACTACACATTCCTGTTATCCCTTGGACGTCTCCGTGCTTCCAGTCCCGAGTGAAGATGCTGCAGGAATGTCATGAGCACAATCTCCATCGTCATGGCTCAGACTCAAGTCGTCCTCCCGGGGAGGAAGCATTGCTAGCTCGCGTTCGGATTTGTTTGGTCGCGCTATCTGCAAGCTCCAAACAAGTTGGGCGACGTCGCAGGTGTAGTGTCCATGTGCCATGTTCCAAACTGTGAGAGCTGCAGCCCAGAAACATGGCCCTGGTAAGGCACCGGCACAGCTCGTGACATGCCAACTGGCTTCTGAGCGGCCGGCAGCTGCAGATGACCACTAAATGTGCAATCACCGCGCAATGTTTTGGCGCACAAAGGGGGGCTGCGTTAAAATTCGACTGTCGTGTCAGCATAGTGGGAGCGGATAGGAAGTCTGTCCAGTATCCACCTACGTGAAATATGTACCTATCTAGCGGATCAAGTAGTCACAGTCTATATGAAGACTTTACCCAATAGAATACGATTCAGTAGGTTTTGGGTGCTCCGCAATGCGGAGCAGGACCCTGAGCCCCGGAAGCCTTGTCGCTCAAAAGATGGAAGAGTGCTTGTGCTTCATGTGGTAGTGCCAGACGCCTGATCTTGGATGTCATCTCTACTGCACTTGTATGAGCTGGCTAGCCGTGGTGATACTATTCATGTATGATCCTCATCATTACGACATTCGAGAACCGAAACCGCCACTTTACCAAGGATCCCGAGCTAGTACCAGCTGGAATCCTGCCCAAGCCAGTCGGTATCTTGCCTCTGCACACCGAACGTGCAAACCAAGCAGCGGTTCATCCTGTCGCCAGCCCCCCCACTTCTCACTTCGATGTTCAATGTTGCCCATCTTGCGAGACCGCAGGTACTTGGATCTATGTGCCCAGTATGCCGGAGAGCTTCTTTCCAACGTCCTCCGAGCAACCCAGCTGCATGTATGTTTCACCGTTGTGTGCAAGCAGGATTTGTTTGGGTGGAATCCAGGTCGCACGACTCACGGCTTGACTCGTCAACATGTCAACACGTGTATCGGTTGCAATTATGTACAATGTACAACTCTAACTTTCCTTCGATTTCTGTCAGCAGATAGGTTGCGGCGCACAGCTTTGTCAGCGTATCGAGGTCCATGAAGACGATAGCGGCCAACAAGTTCAGCGGATGTGCTGCAGCCTTGCTCTAGGGACCCTAGCGCATACTGGCAAGATAATTCAGGAATGTTTCAGGGAAGGCATCGAAGCGAGCTGTCGCAGGGACCGTAGGATGCTCTACGGTTTATGTTTTGCATTTTCTACATGGTTGGCCAAGACTGGCGACAGGTGCTACCAGCAGCCGGGGGTGGGCATTCTTCATGTGGGCCCAGCACGAGTTTGGGAATGTGGGAAGTGTTGGGGCGTTTGGGATGAGCGCTCCGTTCGGGGCGCCTCTCCCTTCCATCAGTGACTCAAGTTTATTTCAGTCCCGGACTGTACTCAATAGGAGGTTAGGCGCTTCGATTAGGCGGCTAGCTTTGGGGTGCCGATTTCGGGCAGAAATCTGGCGGATTCTTGCACCTTCCAGTGCTCGGCACCCACTGACACGGAGGGGCTTCTGAAACAGTCTGCTACACGCTGCACATGTTCCAGGCACGAATGGGCAACGTCCAATCGACAACTCCGCCTGTCGTGGACGGACCACGCCTCGTGCTTACCTTCGTGGCTGCGATCCAGATTGCCAAGGACGTAAGACTCTTGCTTACGATTTGAATCTTCCGAGGCAAGTGGATGCAACGAGATCTATTCGGGCGTTGCTCTAGTTCCCTACGATACCTGGGTCCTCGTCGGCTTCAGCCTTTCCAAGGCGAGGCGCGGGTTCATCGGAAAACCCTTTTCCGACCTTCGGCACTGGCAGGCGAAGAACAGGGCCAGCATTGTCATGAACGACCAGTTGGCAGTAGCCCAAGACAAGCGTGCCAGTAAATGGTGGGTCAGAAGTGCAGCACAGCTTGGGAGCACCAGAGCGTGTTATTCATGTGCTCCGATCTGAGGTTGTGGACACGCAGCGGGGGATCGGGAACTACGTGCGTCAGGGGCGGTGCCAGACTCGGTGGCAAAGTGCACTCTGAGTGCATTCCCTCTCGCTCGCCAAGTCCGTGAAATTTCGCACATTCTGCACGTTGGCATAGCTCATGGCTTCCGGGGCTCAGGATGCGTAATAATGTGATAGGCTCCCAGCTCCCGTGCATTCGGGACAGCTGCTAAGAGCAAGTTCTAGGACTCTATGCTCGCCCCTTGCCGCCACCCGCCCCGTCAGGATGATGCAAATCCAGCAGGCCACAAGGGAAGAGCTTTCATGTCATCATGCTGCTACCGCAGTTGGTTCTTATCGGCATGACTGCAAAATGCGTCAATTCGCAGGTTTAGCAGGTTTAGGCATGGTGTGGCCGGCCTTGCAGTAAGCAGCTTTCTAGAAGTGTGACAGGAGCCCACACGCGCACAGAGAGACAGAGACACACACAGACACACAGACACACAGACACACAGACACACAGACACAGACACACAGACACAGACACACAGACACAGACCCACAGAGAGAGACGGCTACTCTCCCAGTCACGCCTTGTCTTGCTGGAGCGAAGCGGCCGTGACACGACAACCTCAATAGCGCAGGCTTCTCTCGCTGACCGCGTGCTGTCAGACAGCAAAAAGCTCTTGCTGGGAGCACGGAGCTCAGAGTGCACAGGTTCTCAGCACTCTCAGCCATCAAGTCGACCGCGGCATGGCAGCCGGGCACGGCCTTGCAATCCTTCAGATCTCAACAACAACAGTCAGCAAATGACTCGTATATACTCGTAAGTCCGTGTATGATCTTTCAGTAGGAGGAGGATGCATCGGAGTAGGCGACATGTCTGTTTTGTCTCGTTATGTCTCATTGCTGGTTGGGCTATGGGAACCCTCGAGTCGCTCCAGAACTTCAGGCACACGTTCTCGCGCGACCTGAAGAGATTGCAGCTTGGCTGGAATCATGTCATTACGTGCGCAGACGGGACCCCAGGCAGTGGAATCCGCGGTGTGTAGCTCCCGCCAAGGCTCAAGCGCACGGTTTCATCGGTTTCATGGGCGACGTGCGGATGACTTAGACATACAATTGCCGACTCAAGCGACTCAAAGAGGCGCAGCCTCCGAAGTCATTGCAGTGTCTGGGGTGTCTTGTTTCTGCTGCGAAAGTGAGGCGTATCTTCCGTGCTTCTCCTGATGGCAGCACGCTGGCCGGCGGCTCGAAAAGGTCCCCTGAGCCTCTTTGGCAAGGGTCCGTTCATAGATCGCCCTCGCCCGCAATACCAGAATGCTCTGCCAGAAACAGCATTGGCCTCTTCAGACTCCGTATGCACAGCCGAACCATGAATATGAATGTGAGGTATTAAAACACAGAACCTAGGATGGGAAATCACGGAACACGGCTGAAACGATCGCCAACACATCACACAGACATGTAGAGTTTTCTATGCATGTCTTCATTCCCGCGATTATGTATAGACATGACAGGTTGACAGCCCTGAACGTGTGGAATATCGGGACTTGCTTTGTAGAAACTTGGGCTTCTGAATGGAAGCTCGCCGTCACTGGAGTGTTTGGCTCGAAAGGGGCCGTTGCTGCCTAGTTTGCTACCCCAAACCTCGCCTGACCTGGTCGAGTGCGAGTGCAAAAAATAGACATCACAGGTAAACATCCATGTCTAGTCTATACGTGAGCCTGTGCAGGATACATCCATACAGTCATGCATGCATACATACATGGGTACAAACAAACACACATACATATATGTACAGGCGCATAGAGGCCGGTTGCCCTGGCCCATTAGTATCGGTGACTCCCGGTCCGGTGGTTCGGACAGTCTGAGGTCAACTTGTTGTCTTGCAGCTCACAGGACGTTACAACAGGGACAGGATGGGACAAGGGTGCCTGGGATCTCGTTCTCAGATTTTTTTGAACAAGCTTTCGATTGACAGCTGTGCATGTAGTGTACATGGCGGATCATCTGCAGGATGTGCTCAGCGGAAGTGCAACAACATGTGGCTCTCAAGCTGCCCAGCACTCAGAACATTCGGAAGCGGCTGTTTTGTCAGTCGTCACAGGCTAGTAGCAAAGCGAGAAGCTGAAGAGGGAAAGACAAGAGGCTGTGTCGGTGATGTTGCAGTTCCAGCAGGGCAGTGAGCCACAGCCTCAGACGCTGACATGTGGCTGTAGACTCTACCATCGATTGTGTTCCTGGCATTGTAGTTCCATCAGCTGACCTTGAGCTTCATGTTGCTTGTTTCCTTAAAGAAATGCTGAGTTTCGAAAGGTGTGCCGGCACCAACTGCTGCAAGCCAGGTCCATCAACTCTATCACGGGAACACGGCTGCAACCCCATTTTACCACTCGCGGTGCGATGGGTACAGCCGGCCTGGTTGGACTGTCCTAAGTACTTAGATCGAGCTTTGCAAACGAAATGCAGTGGCCCCTCAATCGAAGCACTTTCTCGAGGCAGTGGCGACATGCCTGTATCTAAGGAGATGGAATGCAGCTATATAGCTCCCTTGTCGGGGGACTCAGAAAAAGCCGGAGGTAGGACACCAGGTAGGATTGCGAGCCCGACACACAGGTTTCGGGATGCCCTGCTGCAATCGATACGGGGGCAGTCGACCGTCAAACTTGCCTGAAGCACCGCTAGGTCACTAGTCACTAGGTCCCCAATGTCGGCATGAAGCTCACAACGCTATTCGTGTGCCAGGAGAAGGTCAGCCAAACCCGGTCCCCATCGTTGCCTTTGCTGACAAGTCGGGAGCCTGCAGCTGCGTGCCGTCAGCTGTGTTTTGAAGTGTATCTGTGAGACCAGTGGGTTGAAGCTCCCCATGCCGCCGAGGGTCCTCCACCCACTCCTGCAGAAGCCCCCGGTGCAGCTCTCAGAGAGGGCATGCCTAGCAAAGCAGCAATCTGCCTGGCCTTCCCTCGCAAGCCTGAGGCAGACAGCATCGTGACGCTGCCGGGCACAACTCTGGACCGCCGCTCATGCGCAACACAAAAGCAGAATAGCATTGCAATGGTTTGGTCTGGAAACGCGTATGTTTTTGATGGCCACAGACTGGCGAGCTTCGGCACATGAAGCATGAGCCCGGACATCATGTATGCTGGCATATGCTGGCAGGACCCAGAGGCTTTGCGGAAGACATGGCCGAAGGAGAGTGTTTTCTTTGAGAACGGCCACAAGTTCATAGTGTCATAGGGTTAAGGCTACCGGGTAACCTGTTCACATTCCCTTCCAAGTCCCAGATCCTACTCGTAGCTCCTCACGGAGACATCTAGCGGTCTTCTCAAGACGCTCCCCTTGATGACAAGGTCCATGCAAAAAGAGTGGTTCCAATCAAGGAGGCCTACTTCGAGAACTATCCATGAGAAGGTCCCATAAAACAGGTATCCCTGTTTTCAGGAGATCCGCCACTTCCCTTAATGCGGGGCCTCAACACTAAGAGAAGGGTTTGGGGTATATATGGTGCTATAACCATATCAAGGCAACCGAAGTAGTAAGGAACCCTAAGGTTAAGGAACAGCGCCCCTTGAGGAGTGGCTGCTGCGCTTCTCCGAGGCCGACCTGGCAAACTCACAGGCCGAGGCGGACGCTTGGGCGCGGCGCCCAGAGGGTGCTCCTCGAAGGGTTACTTTGAGGATTGCTACAAAGATTACTACAAAGGTCAAAAATGAGGATTGCTACAGGGATTCGTTTAAGGGCAGCTAGGAGTCTACAGGGGTCACTGTATGAGGTCTATGAGGTGCTTCAGCATCGGCCATGCCCATGTTACAGTTGGACTCTATTCAGGTAGCCTTGGTTTTTTTCCCAGGATTTCGGGTAAATGGCGGGTGATTTCTCCCCACAAGTACTGGGACGAGCCCGTCCGAAATCCCGGAATCCTGGAAGGCCTCGGAGGTCAGAGCCGCGATGCAGTTCACCTGGAAAGGCTACAGGACTCCGGGCTGGGCTGGGAACTTCAGGTGCTTGAGATTGCACCTCGCCAGATGACCTTTGTTTTTGGGCCGCCTGTATGCAAAGATATGCAAAGCACTGCGCAGCTTACGTGCTTAAACCATACACAGAGCCTCGCGCATGCAGGGACAAGGCGTGGGGCCATGACGAGGTGATGCCCGCCTCTGGTCGGATCAAGGCTCCAAGTGTTTGCGGGCATGGGTTTCTGATCTGCGCTGGCGTGATGGGAGGTGTCCTTAGGAATCGTGGCGCGAGAGTACTGGTAGCTGGAGTGGCACTCGTAGTAACACCCACCTTTATGTTCAGCCACCTTCCAGAAGCCAGCGCTGACCTGGGTAAGAGCTGTCAGGATTGGTGCAAGATGGCGCGGGACCCAGCGGGTCTACAAACTGGTGCACTGATCACCAGCCTCTGGGTCAAGACCTTGGGAGTTATGCTGGATCTTAGGCCTTAGGCATTGTTCTGTCTTGTATGCTGCAATGCACCGTGTGTGTGACATACATACATTCGCAGCACGATGCAACTGTCTTTACGATTTTTACATATACACTTCTCCGCCAGAAGTGCTGCGAGGCCATCACCATGCTGGACGGTTTGTGCTGCTCTTGGAAAGACGCTGTTAGTCATGTTCCTCGACATGTACATGCGTGGCGGTGTGCATGGAAGAGTAACCCGCCTACCGCCCACACGCCCATCCGCCTGCCCGCCCGCCCGCCCCCCTATCCATCTACGCTTCCACAATTGAACTAATGCACAACGTCAGACAGATTCTCCGTGCATGCGTATACACATGATACACATATTTACACACGAATTAGCTACACACGGCAATCAAGAATTGCTAGTTCGCAAGCCATCAAGAAATCAAATAAACAAAAAGATAGACATTTACATGCACGCACGCACGCGCACGCACGCACGCACGCACACACACACACACAGACACACACAGAGACACACAGAGA